TTCCATTTCTTCATTTAGCTCTTCAGAAATGTATTTCACCCCCAATCCATGTCTGATATACTGCTAGAAGTTAAGGGACAAATTGTGGCAACACACCATGCACTTCAAAGGCATATTTGAGTCAAAAACAACTCCAATAGAGCCAGGAATTAAGATTATCTTATGGCTTATCCCAGGTAAATACCAAGTCAATGGCAAAGTGAAACTTCAAGCTTGGGGCCAGGCATGGTGGCTTATGTCTGTAATCCTGGCACTTTGGAAGGCCAAGGCAGGCAATCACTTGAGCCCAGGGGTTGGAGACTAGCCTGGTCAACGTGGCAAAACCCAGTTTCTACAAAAAATACCAAAAATTAGCCAGGCATGGTGACATGCACCTGTAGTCCTAGCTACCTGGGGGAAGCTGAGGTGAGAAGATGGCTGCAGTGAGCCAAGATCACACCATTGCACTCCAGCCTGTGTAACAAAGCGAGATTCTGTCAAAAAAAAAAAAAAAAAAAAAATTCAAGCTTGACTGCCCTGACTCCGTGTCTAGAGATCCACTAACTAGAACAATAATACTGGCCTGCCTGTAGGTCAACAAATACAGAAATCACAGCCTCCCCCTTCAATTTCTTGGTTAAGATTACAGTTGGCCAAGCTCTCTAAACTTTTTCTGCATTTATTTTGACCTCAGCTGTTACTCTTTTCTATTCCGCTTTCTGTCCTCCTTACTAGCTCACATATTTCTTTCCTCCTCCTCTACCCTATCCCTTACATTGAAAACTTTTTCTCACAAATACTATATGAGGGCACACTACACAATTGATCATAAATGATTGACACGTGAATCCATACACAATTGGGAGATGAGTTTTCTTGGGTAGCTGTGGTTCTGATCTGAAATCTGTTAAAATAGAATACAATGATGTAATTAGAACAAATGTTAAGGAATACTGTCTACATGGCACTCAAATTAATTAGTAAGGATACTGGTGAAAAGAGTTCTGAAGTGTTTCTATTATTGGAAAAAGAGGCTTAAATCTAAATTGTTTTTAATCTCAAGTGGTTAAATGAATCGTCTCCATTATTAAGGCAAAAAAATGACATAATATTTTTCTAGAAATGAGACTATTTGCATAAACTTTAAAAAAATCCTGGCAAAGAAGAAAAATCATTTAATATTCTATAAAAAGTTCTTTATATGTCTTTCAAACTATTACTTAGATGTTTCTTTATCAAATCAAGCAACAGTTCAGTGAAATTATTATTAAATATACTTAGTGAGTAGACCAAGCAGAAGTATTAATGCTGAAAGGAATCTAGAACTAAAAAAAGAATCATAGATGCCTTTAAATCAGATCATTTAAAGGAAGGGCAAACAACTCTGTATATTTTAATTTATCCTGAAAGCAGAACTATATCACAATACAATGCTTGACAGTTATGGTAATCAACATTGGTAAATGGAAGCCTTGTCCTATTCAATTTGGTCTTCAAAATCCTGAAGGAGCAGTGTTAATTAGTCAAACTCAAAGAGGATCACTGCACCTCAGTGCAAAAGCTATGACTTGGCGCTCTTCGTCTTGAGTATCTATCTCTTCTTCTTGACCCTGAGGTTGGAGGATTGAGAAAACTTTGCTTTAGAGATGACTAAGACTAGGATTAACTACTTAGTTTATACCTCAGGGAGAACTCTGATCAGCATTATTTTTAAAAAAATTTTCCTTGACATCTAAGTGTTTTGGGGGTATAGACATAGCTAGATTAAATAAACGCCACCAAGAAAACCACAGAGTAGTGACATATCAAAATGTTAACTTGGGCCCACGCTTGTGATTATAGAAAGTCCTCTAGCTATATGTTTAAACTAGCAAAAGAAAACTCAAGACAAACAAGTTCTATAAAAAAGTAGAAAATACACTTGGCTGATTGTTTGTTAATAAGTTCACTGTACTTGGCCTAGTAGAAGTAAAACAGTTAAGTGACTATACTCAGCAATTTGTACCATTCACACCATTGGGTGAACAGACTCTGTGGTGAGAACAGAGGCAAATGAAAAAACACTTCGAATTAATTCTGCAAAGATTTTAAGATACAATGTTAAACACCCTATAAAAAGCAATCTGACATAAAAGAAAACTAATCAACACAAATGAAAAATAGTAAAAAAAAAAAAAAGAGAGAGACAGATACATTAGGACATTGGAATTACATATAGACAGATACACATAGGACATTCAGACACATGCTAAAACAACTATGGTTAGTGTATTCTAAGAGTTAAAAGACAGTGCTGAGAATGTTGGAAGAAAAATGAGAAGTATAAGTGTTGAAAGAAGAGATTTGAGAAAAAAGCCATACTAAAATTATAGAACTGAAAACGTCACCAAACAAAATAAAAAACTTAATAGAGACCTTTAACAGCAGATTAGCCACAGATGATGAAAACAGATGAACTGGAAGATATGTGAAAGGTAATTACATAGATTGGAGCAAAAAGATAAAAAAGAATGAAAACACAGGAAAAAGCAAAAGAAACGTATAGGATGCTGTAAATGGATCTATAATGAACGTAACTGGGATTCCAGGAGAAGGGAAAAAAGATGGGGAAAAAGCAAAATTTGAAGCAAGTATGGCTGAGAATTTTTCATTGCTGAGTAAAGACATCAGATTTAAGCCATATATTACCTTCAAACAGATGAATTCACACAAAAAACAATATCGGATCTGGGTCACGGCACCAAAAAAGAAGAAGGAGAAGGAGAAGGAGGAACAATAAAAAATAGAAAAAAGTGGAATAAAATATTTGAATGGCTGAGAGGAAAAACAACAAACCTCTAATCCTATACTTATTGAAAATGTCAGGCTTAAGAAAAAATACCTGAAATGTACAGTAGGAAACGAAGAAATAAATAATTAAAATCATAAATATGTGGGCAAATAGAATTGAATACTAACTGCATAAATCTGCTGTGTGCCACCATGCCTGGCTAACTTTTGTATTTTTTTTTTTTTAAGAGATGGGGTTTCACCATGTTGGCCAGGCTGGATCTCAAACTTCTGACCTCAAGTGATGCACCTGCCTCGGACTCCCAAAGTGCTGGGATTACAGGCATGGGCTTCTGCACCCAGCCCAAACAAGGGCTTTTTTTTTTTTTTTTTTTTTTTTGAGACTGAATCTATCTGTATTGCCCAGGCCAGAGTGCAGTGGCATGATCTCAGCTCACTGCAACCTCTGTCTCCCAGGTTCAAGCAATTCTCATGTATCAGCCTCTGAGCAGCTGGGATTACTGGTGCCCACCACCACACACCAGCTGATGGTGCACAGCTGTAGTCCCAGCTACTCAGGAGGTTGAGGTGGGAGGATCACTTGAACCCAGGAGGCAGAGGCTGCAGTGAGCTGAGATTGCGCCACTGCACTACAGCACGGGTGATAAAATAAAAATAAATACATTAATATAATAGCATATAAACTATGAGGAGGGAGTCAACAGAGTAAAGGAATGCTTTATTGATTTTTATATTGATCAGGAAGAACATAAAAATGTCAGTCAATATTAGTCTTTGATGAGTGAAGGTTACATGTATAATTCCAAGAACAACTACTAAAAGATTAGTAAAAGAAATGTAAAAGATGTGAAAGAGCACATTCCAAATGAACAGAAAAAAAACTAAGAAAAAGTGTTATAAGAAAAACTGAATAAGAAAAAGCAAATGAATGACAACGGCAGTGACAAAGTCTTCAACACATAATAAGGAATAATGTATAATCATGCAAATGTGAAATACATTTAAAACATCTTTCTAAAATGCAAAATGTGAAAATGTGGCTACTTTTTAACTTAATAATAAGTATCACACATTAACTATGTACAAGACACTATGTAAATAACTTTACTTTCTTTCTTTCTTTTTTTTTGAGACGGAGTTTTACTCTTGTTGATCAGGCTGGAGTGCAACGGCACGATCTCAGCTCACTGCAACTTCCGCCTCCCAGGTTCAAGTGATTCTTCTGCCTCACCTCCCAAGTAACTGGGATTACAGGCATGACCCACCACCCAGCTAATTTTGTATTTTTAGTTGAAACGGGGTTTCTCCATGTTGGTCAGGCTGGTGTCAAACTCTGACCTCAGATGATCTGCCTGCCTCTGCCTCCCAAAGTGCTGAGATTACAGGCGTGAGCCACTGCACCTCGCCCAATAATTTTACTTTTATACCCAACTCACAATTCTAAGAGACAGCACTCTTTCTTTTGTTTTTGTCTTTTGTTTGTTTTGAGTTGGAGTCTCACTAGAGTCTCATTCTGTCAGCTGGAGTGCAATGATATGATTTTGGCTCACTGTAACCTCTGTCTCCCAGGTCCAATCAATTCTCCTGCTTCAGCCTCTTGAGTAGCTGGGATTTCAGGCAAGTGCCACCACACCTGGCTATTTTTTGTATTTTTAGTGGAGATGGGGTTTTGCCGTGTTGGTCAGGCTGGTCTCAAACTCCTGACCTCAAGTGATCCGACCACCCTAGGCCTCCCAAAGTGCTGGGATTACAGGCGTAAGCCACCACTTCCAGTCCAGAGCACTCTTTCTATTCTCATTTATGGATATAAAAAAACAGGAGTCAGAGAGGAAAAATGACTCATCCCCAATGTCACACAATCCGTGAGTGAGCTAATAGCCCAAATTGAGGCCTGGCTTCAAAACCAATGTTCTTAACCAGAGGGTTACACTGACTGACAGTGACTGCTCCTTGTCTGGACAACTTCAAACATGTCAGATGCCTCCCTGGTAAGAAAACCAAAAGAACATCTGTGTTGATGGCACTAGATGGCCTCTCAGCTCCTTTTCACTCTCAAATCCTCCTTATTCTTCTCCTTTTGTCCTAGCTCACTCCTTCTCTTCTTTTATGTCTTTCTCTCTTTCTCAAATATGGTTAGCAAATCAGGTTCTTAGCTGCTTGACAGGTTTTCATAGATGAGGTGAAAACCTCCCTCTGAGAAAGAGGATGAAGCATTGTCTCTAAACACTTACAAGTTAGAAGAGAATGTTGATCCATCCTCCCAGAGCCACGGTCCCTCAGTCTGGGTCCTAGAAAGGCCTATCCAAAATGAATTATCAGGTTGGGAAGACACTTGCTTTAATATAAATCCCTGTAACGAAACGAACACAAATAGACAACAGAGAGAGAGAGATACTATTAGCATGAACACGGAGAAAAAGACAACTGATTGAATCACTTTGGTGAAGGATGCATGCCTAACCTGACATCAACCTCGAGAGAAATGTTAATTTTTGAATGTCATGGAATGTCTCAAAAGGCCTATTTTATTTATTTAAAGTAATTATCATTTAATTTTCCAAGAGAATAGATTTATAATGTCAAGATTGTACTGCCTCCATTCAATTGACAAAATCCCAGATGACAGGCCCCCTAGGCAGTTTTCATGGATGATTGGCCACTATCTTCTCCTCCAATTGAAGAAATAAATGGATGCTACTCTCGTTAAGAAATAATTCTCACAGTTAGGTAACAACTTAAAAATAATTTAGTCCAACGGCATATTTTATGAATAAGTAATGTGAGGGTCAATGAAGAGACCTGAACTGTTGACAAATACAGAACAATTTACTTTCAATTATAGGCTGGCCTAAAAGTCAGATAGGCTTGTAATCCAATACTTTTTCTTCACCATTTATCTAGTTCCATTAACTTTAACACAAATTATTACTACTGGGTAAGACATTACAGAAACAAAAAAAAAAATGAGAATAGTCAAAGTAGATGTAAAAGTTACCAACTGGTTTAGATTTATAATTAGAATATTTCCTATTAACCCATTCTCATACCTCATCTAAGCTCTACCCTTCATTCATGATGGTTTATAAGTGCCACTTTTTATGAAAACTTCTTATGAACACAGCGATCTCTTTCAACTTCTATGATAGCTATTGCCAATGCGAGATATTTAACTTTTAATAACTCCTAAGTTGCTTCTTTGTACTTAAAAAAGTATATGTGTCCTGTGATAGCAGGGCTATTTTTTAACCCTCTTTGCCTTTCAAGTATCTTGCAAAGAGCAAATAATTTATAAACATATATTATCATTGTTGCCATTTTTCCTGATAATTATGACAAGAAGGACAATGTTCTACTATACTCCACCAAATTTAAAAATTGAAATACAAACTCACAAAAACAGGTAGTGGCCTGATTATTGCAGTCATGCATACATGGAGTGTGTTTCAAAGGATTTGTTTTAAAGTGAGACACAGTTTTTTTTAATTAGTTAAAAATAAAAGCCTATACTATGCACTTTATATGCTTAAGGCATGCTATGATTATAATTACAGTAAAAATGACTTTTGGTCGAGTGTAACCTGTAATCCCAACACTTTGGGAGATTGAGGTGGGCAGATCACTTGTGCCTAGGAGTGTGAGACCAGCCCAAACAATATGGAGAAACCCCATCTCTACAAAACAATACAAAAAAAAAAAAAATAGATGGGTATGGTGATGCACCCTGTAGTCCTAGCTACTAAGGAGGCTGAGGTGGAAGGATGACTTGAGGCTGGGGAGGTCAAGGCTTCAGTAAGTCGTAAACTGCACCACTGCACCACTCCAGCTTGGGCAATAGAGCGAGACTCTACCTCAAAAAGAAAAAAAAAAAAGAAGAGGAAGACTTCATTTTAGGGAAAATTGTCATTACCTGGAATCTCCCTCTGTTTTCCTTTTGGATACAGATCACAGATAATTATAACAGAAATCTATACTTACCAATTCTTTTGAACTGTCTATCTTCAGGAGGTTAGAGTCCAGTTGAGAGCACTGTCTTTTACTTCCATCCCAAGAATTTAGTGACGTGCTGAATAGATAACAGCTCTTCTCATATGTAATCCAGTTAGGAGGACAAGGGCTGGAAAGATCTCCTGGAAATAAAAGATTAGTACCATGAGGTTCATAGCATACCAATTCACTCTTTTAGTGTGAACACCATTCATCTTAAGGACACTTACAAAATAACCAATAAGTTGCCATTATTATATTTCATTTTCAATTCAAACTATAGGGATATGATTTTACCGATGAGAATACATTCAAATCTTCCTATTCATTTAAAATTTAAAAACGAATTAACTATGAATAGTATTTTAGGCAGCCAACCATCCTTTTTTCTTGAGTTTGATTTCTTCAGATTCAGCTCAAAACTACCTTTCTCCTTAATTACTACTTAAAATAAGTCCACTCACAATCAATCACTGAGGTACACGGCAATTTCATCTTGCTACTTAATTTATTTTATGATGTAAGATCTACTTCAGAATGTGACGTTCCAAATGAGAACAGTATAGGTCAATTATTCGTATTACACAGTATCTCTGTTATTTATTATTAACTACTTAACAAAAATGTTGAGGAGGTACGGGTCCAGACATGAAAAATTAAAATGAAAATATTAAGTGACAGTCAATTATGACGCAATTAGAAGTAAAGGTCAAGTGTATATAGAATTGTAATTAAGTAAATGAAATTGTATGATTAAACAAATTCGATGAGTTTTTAGGAACATGTGTATTAGGTCTACCTCTTTTGTGTATTTTTAATTTAGCTTCTTTATTCTTGGCAACATTTTCCCTTATTTTTCTCCCAGTCATTCTTCCTTGCTAATGTCATATTTTGTATTCTAACTGTATCGCTTTAAAAATGTCAATTCTGTAAGGAGAGAGAACACTTTTCTTTGTATCAAATTATATGATCTCCTGTAGATCTAAGCACATAGCCAGTGATAAATCAGTTACTGATTTTAAAAATTATTAAAGTCCAATTTAGAACTGTTCAGTAAAGTGCATGGGGTACTTACAATTTCACCTTATTGTATATATGACAGGGATACATTACACTAAGATTATACTGATATGTGTGCTTGCCTTTAATGTACAATCATTGGATCAAAGCGTATTTTCTTTATATCCCTGCCCCAGGCCTCAGCACCAAGAATTAACCCTCTTGAATCAAGATTCGATCCTTTATGCCCTTGCCTGTGGTTTTGACAGCTTTGGTAGGAGTCACACTCTCTTCTAAAGATGATTGTGTGGGTTGACTGTGGTTCTCTTTATTTCTTGATGGAAAGTTGCCATTCTTCAATGGGTTGCTTCCTGAATTGGATCTCCAAAAAGCTTCATATACCAACAACAATAATAGTGACAAAAAAATGTCATTCTGCTATGTTTGAAAATTAAAATCCCAAACCCGTATGATATTGGAATAAAAGGATACATTATTGATTAATGATAAATCGATGATATATTGCTGTGGAGAGGTAAAGACGATTGATTGATAGAATAGACAAAAAAATAAATAACATTCATAAAGAAGGTATAGTGAAAAAAAGAAAAGGGAGGTAGAGAAGAAGAAATAGAATGAGGGAGGCAGCAAGAGGCAAATGTCATACAGTCAATTGGAGCCATGACAGACTGGAAATAGCAACGTCTTTCACCTTTCTTCTATTATTTAAAAATGAGAGCTCCTTGAGAAACTGCCCAGTACCTATAACATAGAATGCCAATAAACATTCGACTAACTAAGGAATGTCATGAAGATTCTCTGAAGGCGCTTGATAACATATTGCATGTGATATAATATCTGAAAAAAGATATTCATCCTAGCCAGGTGTGGTGACCCATGGCCTGTAATCCTAGCACTTTGGGAGGCCAAGGTGGATGGATCACCTGAGGTCAGGAGTTTGAGACCGGCCTGACCAATACAGGTGAAACCCTGTCTCTACCAAAAATACAAAATTAGCCAATTGTGGTGGCGGGCGCCTGTAGTCCCAGCTGATACTGAGACAGGAGATCGCTTGAACCCAGGAAGCAGAGGCTGCAATGAGCGAGATGGGGCTACTGTACTCCAGCCTGGGCATCAAGAGAGAGACTTGATCTCAAAAAAAAAAGAAAAGAAAAAAAGATAGTCATCCATTACAAAGGCACTTAGGACCAAGTGCCTCAGGCATTTCTGTTATATTCAAAGGTGCTTATATTAAAGATCAGAAATAATTTCCTTAAATAATGACCCTGCTAGAAATAGCTTAACGTCCCTTTAGTGAATTTATTTCATTAGGAAGACAGCATCATATTGTACTTCCTTCCATTAATTTATCTTCTTAATTCCGCAGCTACGAGTTTTTTGGACAGATCACCTAAATTTCTAATCATGGTCTCACCACTAACCAGCTTATAACCCTGGAAAGGTAAAATAGCCTCTCAGTTTCTCACACCTAAGGGAATGGGCATTCATAGCACCAACTCAATACAGATAAAACCAGATTATGTATAAATTAAAGTAGATTATGCCTGTCAAGCCCTTAAAAGAGTGCCTGGCACATAATAATTGCTTACTGAATTGTCTGTTGTTGCTGTTAATCTCCCCCACCAAATACTCACCCGTGGTACCCAGGACCACAGCTGTCACCAGTATTACCAAGCAGAGAATTCCCAAAATCACAGCAATGAGACGCCAAGGAGGAGATGCAGCACAAGATCCTGAGGAGCCAGAGAGGGCAGAAGTGGAATAAAGAAGGAGAACAATGGATGGTGGGGCACTTTAATTCTACAGTGCCTCAAAAATCTGGCCAGGCACAGTGGCTCACACCTGCAATCCCAGAAGGGATACTGAGGTAGGAGGATTGCTTGAGGCCAGAAGCTCAAGACCAGCCTGGGCAACACAGGGAGACCCTGTCCCTACCTAATTAATTAATTAATTAATTAGCTGGGCATGGTGGTGAGCTACTGTAGTCCCCGTTACTCTGGAGGCTGTGGCAGAAGGATCACTTGAGCCCAGGAATTCCAGAGCAGCCTGGGCAACAGAGGGATATGCTGACAAAACAAAAAACAAAGCAAAACAAACAACAACAACAACAACAACAAAAGTGAATTATTAATCACTGCCTAGATTACCTAGTCATCTAGGATTAGCCGTGATTTTCTCCACCTGTAAGGATACCTCTTCTTCAACTGCTAGAATTGTCATTTCAGCTCACTGCCTTGATATCTGTATGCTCCTAATTTCGGCTCCACATTGATACCTACGGGTCTTGACGTTAGATTCCTGAAATCCTGCTGCTTCTTAGAGGAAATAGCTTGATGCTGGGGAGATAGCACTGATTACTGAGGGTAATTTTCCCTTTTTGTATGTTTGTTGCATGACCCAGGGCAAGGTACTACCTTCGTTGTTTTTCATTCCTCTTTGTGAAATTGGAGTAATATCTCAAAGGATTATTGTGGGAATTAAAAAAGCTAACACATATAAAAGCGCCTTGTTTAGAGACTGCTAGGACATTATAGGCGTGTTGTTACAGAATATTGTCAGCCTACACATTTGCATCAACACTCACATGGCTCCCTACCCCTTGCCTCACGTGATTTTTCTATCCCTCCTCAATAGGTTTCCCAAGAAAAGAATTACATCAGTGCTGGGAGGAAAATAATTGCACAATGTGAATAACAAGAAAGCAGAAGAAAGCAAGCTCTGGTGTCAAAACTGACAAATGAGCTCCCTTCTAAAGATAATAGGGAATTACGTTTGCATTAACATTGCCATAACCAGAATGTATTTCTACTTTCCACTGAGACTAAGCTGTAAGGACATTTCATAGAATTGTCACATAGGAGAATCATAAGAGTAGACTAAATCACTCATTCTATGAATACAGAGATCCTCCAATGCCCTTCTTTCTATTTCATTTCATTTACATTTTGTTTAAGATTCATGTCCTGCTGATGGGAGTTTTTGCTTGTTTTTGTATTTTGAGCAAATACTCCTGGAGATGGGAGGTTTTTATCTCCCATATATTAATCTATTTTCCTTCACTGGTATATCAATAACCCTTTTTTCTTTAAAAATCATCCAAATTAATCACTTACCACAATAAAAAATGTTATTTATATTTACTTCCCTAAGTTTCCTGGCCTCCATTCTATAATCTATCCTTTCTATCAAATCGCTCATGTAGAAGTCCTTCATCTTTGTGTATTATCCCACTTATTACCAGTTTCTCACTGATGAAGTGTCTATATCTATAGAAAAGAGAAACTGCATTTTCTGCCATCAGACATAATTAATTTAAATATTAATAATTGGTCACAGAATAATTTTCATGAAAAAAGGTTTAGGGCGCATTCAAATTGTCTTCAGTGACATTTGAAGCCCTTTAAAAATATATCCATAAAGTTGTACCAATCACGAGCCTCTCAAATTTTCTCCTTTTATACCTTTTTGAATGGGAGAGCTAAAGCCATACGTTAGGAAAAAAAAAAATATATATATATATATATATATACACACACACATATATATGTATATACCTTTCTCTGAAACAACGGATATCCTGGTATTGTTTCGAGAGTTGAAGCGTAATTGAGTATATCCGTCTTCATCCAAATTTTCTAAATCAGGATATTCCATTGTTCTTGAGAGCCCCTGAATAGCCACAGCATTTGGGAGCTCTTTTCTTTCTGCTCCTGACACGATTGCCTGTGGACGAAAGAGAATCTCTGAGTCAAACCATGTGGGATAGTCACTTACTGGAGTTTGACAAATTAAGCTTAAGTCGTTCAACCAGATATTCAAAAGCAGGAAGTGAAACAATGCTGTGGTAATTTTCCATTGGTACCTTTAGGTCCTGTTTCTGAGACTGCTGACTCAGGAAAACTAAAAGGCAGCATAGTAGATAAGTCTCTGTTTCAAAACAAATGTAAGATAAACGCATAAATTAATGTGTGATGCTGCCTTCATTACTCTCATAACTGAATCTGACATCAGTAATTAATTTAACCTATGCAAACTGCTACTGTTTTGGTACTCTGCATTTACCCCAACTTTGTTGTAACTTTGTTCATGTATTTATTCATGTATTTTTTAAATTATGTAAACAGATACTGAATGCCCACCTTTTCAATGGACAGGAGCTTAGAATACAAAGAAAAATGATACCTATAAAGAAACTCATTGCCTAATAGAGGAAATATGTAGATAGCTAAATGAGGGCTGGCATGAGAGGGTGCATTGTTCTAACAACAGACAGAGAAAACAAACCTCTGGGAATTATCAGATATTAATAATACAAAACAACATTTATTTATTGAACAATTGCTATGAGGTAGGTACCACATGTTGCACGTTTTGTTCAATCTCACTTTTTCAAGTCTATATAGTAGGGATTATTATTTCTGTTTTCAGATGCAAAAATGAGACAGAAAATTTAGTCTCCTTCTCAGGTTTAAGAAGGTAATTTAAAAAATTTAGAGCAAGGAATCAAACTAAAGCTGACTCTTGCTGCAAAACTCACAGTCTTTTCGTTACGCTACATGCGTCTTTCATCATCCCATACACTCATATTGCAAGGAACAGCTTATGGAAGGTGTTGGGACTGAAATATTATGCTCATATGCTAAACGTTTGATTTTTTTTTCCCTCTTCCCATTTCCATAGTAATGATCAAGTCAAGGAAATATAGAAAACACCTAACATTGCTGGAAACTGCAGTGCCCAACTCATTTACCAGACTCTGAAGCCCATAGAGTGCAGAAGACATCTGAATGTTGTCAAAGATCAACAAACCTGAATACTAGTTAAGGTGGTGAGGACAGGTTTTATTCAGCAATACTCTTGCAAAAGGAAAGAGTGCAGCGTGAACTGAACTCAACTTCCCCAAAAGTAAAGCTGATAACATTTTAAAGTATGGCGTGTGCTAAGGAAAATATATTGAGTGGTGTTAAGGAGGTTAATGTGACTAGACCATCTGGATTTGTTAATTGGCCCTTATCCAGAGGAGGGAGAAACTTCGCCTATCTATGTGACAGATAGGCGTGGTGCAGGTTGAAGTGAAGCACCCAGGTAAGTTGGTCTTTATCCTCCAACTAAAAGAAAGAGCAAGATTTCGCTCCCTGAATGTCTGCATGTCAAAGAAACAGCTCCCAGGTCCTTGAAGAAACAGTTCTGTGTGGTAGATTTGCTTCTCAAAGGGCAGAGAAAGAATTTAACTGTAAGATTTCTAAAGTAACTGCTCTAACAGGAATTTGGGAGCCTATCTGTTACCAAGTTTTGATTGGCACAAAAAGTAAATCCTCCTAGCAGCATTGGGCTTCCTCAGGCTGGCATTTTAAGTAGGGCTGTGTCATCCTATGGACCTTGCCTTAAGGTACTAGAAGGCACGCTAGAGCTTGCTGAGTCTCTAGTGCAGAGATTTGGGCGGAGTTGTTATGTGATGAGGGTTCTGCAGTTCTCACCATCTAACTACCTATCAAAATGGAAGGTACTCAAGGAGTGTACCTAACTGCGCTTCCACACCTTACTTAAGCTTCCACAAAAGTTTTACTAAGTTTTTGTAGACATGTTGCAAAGTGGTAATGTGGATCTTAATCGCAGCATTCATCAGTCTTTCGGTTCTATATGCAATGCTTGGGAAGCAGCGTGTGAGGTTGAGGACATGCTACCCCAAAATATGGATTCTTGGCCTTTGAGAAAACAGCAGGATCAGGAAGTTCACTCTCACACCTTTCCCCATCTTTCTGCCTTGAAGCAGGTCATAAGACCCTCATTCTAGAAGTATCCTTTCCCAGAGGAAAGAAACATCCTTATCTTTGAAGACACAGAGATGCCAAGAAGAATCTGAACAAATTAGTCTTGCTAAGTTCCCTTCAGCTTATTACCATTAGATTATACACCCCTTGTCCAATGTAGGGGAGAAAAAGTAATATCTTATCTTTGCCCATCACAAAGTTCATGACTGAGACCCCTATAACAAAAGACAGACTAACAAGACAAAAGCATATAAATGGTATATGACAAGATAGGCTTCTAAAATAAAGACCCAGGGAAAACTAAATATTTTTCTTATTTTCTTTTTTTTTTTTCCAACAGGGTTTCACCATATTAGTCAGGCTGGTCTCAAACTCCTAACCTCAGGTGATCTGCCCGCCTCAGCCTCCCAAAGTGCTGGGATTATAGGCGTGAGCCACTGTACCTGGCAAAAACTAAATATTTTTATGGACAGTCATGCAGAAGTGTGATTGGAGAATAAAAGGGTGTAATCTAATAGTAATAAGCTGAGTGGAACTTAACAAGGCCTGTTTGTTCAGGTAACTCCTATTAAATAAATCTGGATGCTATTCTCTTGTTAACCTGTGTTTTATTATAGGTGCCATGAACCTAGCAATGAGTGAGGAAAAGGAATCTTTGCAGCCTTACAAAGGGATACCATGGAATTTCTCATAGAGTGAATAAATTGGATCCAGGAAGAAGGATCGGTCTCCTAAATAGAAATGAGAACAATAATGAGGGGAGTACATTGCAGTCAGTAATAAGAAGGTGTCTTTACTAGCAAATCAGAGCAGACCTCCTATGGGAGAGTCTTTCCCAAAATGACTTTGATTTCCTGTGACTGTCTCCCTGTATTTAATCACAATCCCATGAAAACAGTTAACTCTCTAAGTTGTCAAAGAAATTTTCAATAAACATAAAATTTAGTCTAATTCTCATTTTTCTCCTTTTTTGTCTTTTTGTTTAAAATAAAACAAACATTAATTACACAAATCATTGACAAACTAGAAAAACAATACACTTCATATTTCAAGACAATGGAAGAGATAGTCTGTGTACTCAGAGAAAAATATCCCTAATTAAATGTTAGTGCAAGAAAAAGGTTGAAGGCCAGGTGTGGTGGCTAAGGCCTATAAATTCCTGCACTTTGGGAGGCTGAGGTGGGCGGATCGCCTGAGGTCAAGAGTTTGACCGGCTAACTTTTGTATTTTTAGTAGAGATGGGGTTTCACCATGTTGGCCAGGCTGGTCTCAAACATCTGACCTCTGGTGATCCACATACCTAGACCTTATAATCCCAGCTACTCGGGAGGCTGAGGTGAGAGAATTGCTTGAACCGGAAAGGTGGAGGCTGCAGTGAGCTGAGATGGCGCCACTGCACTCCAGCCTGGGCAACAGAGCCCAGAGACCCTATCTCAAATCAATCAATCAATCAATCAATAAGTTTAAAAAGGAAACAGCCCAACCACATGAATTAAATTACATAAGAAGGAAAAAACTTCAAGTCACTGGTGGAGCTTCTAATTTCAGAGTTTACGGTCTACCCAATAAATGCAACATCTGACACTGATTGACTGTGTGACTTTAGATATGTTGTTTCTTTTTCTATGCTTGCTTCTTCACCCATAAAATCATAATAGGTCTTAAATCTCTGTCGGGATCCTTGTACGGTAAATAAGTACAAGAAAACTGATAAAAAAAGAAAAAAAAAAAAAGCATTCTCTGTGGTATTTGATCTGAGCTAGGCTGGCACGAGTTAACCAAAATGATGAGCAGAATCAGCAGGCATGAATGAGGTGATGGCGCCATCTGCTGCTTTGTTTTAGGAATTTCAAAGTAAATTAGAGGAAGTTAATTTATTTTATTTATTTATTTATTTTCGAGACGGAGTCTTGCTCTGTTGCCAGGCTGGAGTGCAGTGGCGCAATCTCAGCTCACTGCAACCTCCGCCTCCTGGATTCAAGTGATTCTTCCGCCTCAGCCTCCCGAGTAGCTGGGACCACAGGCCCGTGCCACCACGGCCGGCTAATTTTTGTATTTTTAGTAGAGACGGGGTTTCACCATGTTGGCCAGGATGGTCTCGATCTCTTGACCTCGTGATCCGCCCGCCTCGGCCTCCCAAAGTGCTGGGATTACAGGCGTGAGCCACCGCACACTAAAGAATTTCTGCAGGCTAGACCTGACTCGTAATAAAAATGGCACATTCATTCTGCTAAAAGGCATCTATGGTTCTTCATTCGTAAGGAATTATCATCGTTAGGAGTTAGCTTCTATTAAGATCAGCTGTTAGAGTTCAATAATTGCTATCTACATTTATTTTTAATTTTAAATTTCTGCCACCATCAGTTGCCAGATAGAAGGAAACATATCTTGCTCGGTACCAATTCCCAGTGCCTAGAGTGATGCATTAACTACATTAAATGGATGAATAAGATCACATATCCAGCTGTTTTTAATTTGTTTATTTGCTTTCTCCATACCACACTGAAGACACCACAAGAACAGGCTGCATGTATATTCATTACTGTCAGCCCTATTAGTACTAAAGAAAGAAGGTATTCACTAGAGCGTTGATAAATGAATGAATACATTAATGAATAAACCAAAAAATGAGAAAAAACTTTCTAATCCATATGTCTTTGTCAAAGTAAATCAGAATAAAGGGGAAATCAAAATATCTGAAATTGTTATTTTTATATCTAAGTCACTGAAGTATGCATTCAGCCTTTTAAAGATCGCATAGTTGCCCAGGTGCAGTGCCTCACACCTGTAATCCCAGCATTTTGGGAGGCCCATGTGGTTTGACTGCTTGAGGCCAGGAGTTCGAGACCAGCCTGGCCAACATGGTGAATCCCCATCGCTACTAAAAATACAAAAATTAGCCGGCGTGATGGTACACACCTGTAGTCCCAGCTACTTGGGAAGCTGAAGCACAAGAATTGCTGGAACCCAGGAGGCAGAAGTTGCAGTGAGCCAAGATCGTGCCACTGCACTCCAGCCCAGGCAACAGAGCAAGACCTTGACTGAAAAAAAAATTTTTCCTAGTA